ATCTACGTGCGGCGTCTGTACAGATGTGAATGCCTGCATTGTACAACAAGTCTCAGGACAATATCTACGTGCGGCGTCTGTACAGATGTGAATGCCTGCATTGTACAACAAGTCTCAGGACAATATCTACGTGCGGCGTCTGTACAGATGTGAATGCCTGCATTGTACAACGTCTCAGGACAATATCTACGTGCGGCGTCCGTACAGATGTGAATGCCTGCATTGTACAACGTCTCAGGACAATATCTACGTGCGGCGCCCGTACAGATGTGAATGTCTGCATTGTACAAGTCTCAGGACAATATCTACGTGCGGCGTCCGTTCCACCAGGAGATTTTTGTCAGGTAGGGTACAGCATCTCCCTTAAAGTATCTAGTATAGTATAGTATAAGGTTTTACGGCGCTCGCAACTGCTAAGGTCATATGAGCGCTTAAAGTATCTGTAGGTAAATAAAGTTCTTTTAGCTTTTGCATCTTTGGTCAACAACGCTCCCCTGATTGTTAAAGCTAAAGCTACGGAAATTACCTTGTTGTCCTAATGAGATCGTTAGGCACGTTGTCTCAAAAGATTGGCAGATACAGTGAGTAGGGTACACTTTTTGGTTCCACTTTCAGACACGGTGTTCAGTATACAACCTTCATTCATAGGAGAAAACAAGGGAGGAAAAAAAAGGCTCCCATTGATTAACTGCAATCACTTTTTCGTTGTGCATGATATATGCTTCAAATGGCAGTTGGAAGATGTAAGCCCTTTTCATCTTTCCTCACCCTGTGTTTCTTTCTCAGACAGCTTGCGTAGACTGGAGGTTCTCATGTATATTTACTCTTTCCATTTTCCCTGACGCTTTCCAGGATTTTTTTTCTCTTCTTCTTCTTTTATGTTTCTAAATCTAGTTTTTTCATTCATTAAACATAAAAAACACACTTTTTTGAGAGGACCACAGTTCGTCCAACCCATGCTGAATGTTTCTATCTTCTGACTTTTAATTATAAAAAAACCCAAACATTTCCAACATTTTTATTTGTGGAGGTAGGGGGGTACTATCTTTGTTAGAGTTTTATTTGGTTAATCTCTATGAAATCTATTTTAATGGAAGTGTCAGTACAAGACATACTGAAACTAAATTATATACGACTATGAAGAGTGTTTTTCTTTTAAACAGAATAAAAAAGAAAAATTAATTGGTGAGCTATGAGAATTATTTCTGAAATCTTGCAGACGCATGGATGGATGCATGAAAGAGCACTTTGCCAACCGACAAAACCACAGAAAAATAGACAGTGCTCTTTCATGCATCCATGCATCCATCTGCAAAATTTCAGAAAATGTAACATTGATTTTCCAGTGTAATTCGGCCTAATAGATCTATAGGCCAATTCGCCTCTCATTTATTTTAGCTTAAGTTAAGACTTACACCAAAACCTGGGCAGGTTTCTTACCCTCAGTCTTTGATCTAACTGTCCATTTCAGTCAAATTCATTTCAAAATGGCCTGAATCATTCAGAATTGAAAAAAATATTAAAAAGTTACGGCTCACGTCATTTTGCAATATGGCCAAAGTCAGAGACAACAGTCTCGAAATGGCCTATGTCAGTCACATCCCATAATTTTTGTTTTTATTGGAAAATGACTTTACTATTAGTAGGCCTACATATACTAATGAGGGATGAAAAATTAATTAGCTCTGGAAATTTTGGGCTATCAAAGTGCATTTTTCACTTATTGAGACAGTGGTTTTTTCACTTATCTTCGAAGTGTAAAAAAACCGACTAAAGCCAAAAAGGTAGCAGCTTGACGAAATGTACATATAT